AATAAAATATTGCTGAACTTTATGTCGGGAGAGATTGCCAACATGTTCTCACTCCCCCATTTTGTCACATATTGTCGCTTGGTCAGTGGCCTTCACTAGGCATCCTGGGTGCGTCTATTGTTGATTTTTTTGAGACACCGTGTCAATTTCCGCCTGTAACATGCGTGGAGTCTTTTCAACAGGTTAGATGCATACAGTCTTTTTAAAGATAAACTAACATCAGCAACACCTCATTTACATTTATTTCCTTGTGCAACAAACACACAGTGTTAGCTTTAGGCAACAAAAGCCTGTGGTGAGGTTTATAAAAAACGGTTTGGCTCAACATTCATGCAGGAAGCAAACACCGGGCCCCCGGGTGAAAGTCCAGGGTTTGTTGGACCCAGCCCCCTATAGGGATATTGCAGTTCCTTATATTATGTTGTTGTCCTACAGCATTTAAAACTGAAGCTGTCTGGGAACGTAATAAACTGACGCCACCTGGCAGTACATTCTGCCACAAAAGGATGCCTTTTTCAACAGTGTCTGACACAGAAATCACTTACTAAGTAGCAGTGTTTGACGAATTCTGAATGAGAACAGGTTGAGATTGCAGGTATCTCAAAACAAAAGCTAACACTGGACATTTTCATCCTCTCATGTTGGACTGAGGGCAGACTAGACGCTACACTCACACAAAAGGAGATTAATAGGATTCTGTATAAAACTTGAAGGTTCTGTATAGAACCACTAATTGTAAGAGTGTACAGTGACTCACTATCGCCTCTCGAGGTACAAGTGGTATTACAGGACAGCATGTACCAGTGATAACTGGTTAGCATGCTCATTTCAGTAGGTATCTCTGCAACACAATACATGGATGTCTTTGATGTAACATCACAACTGTTACTTCTTCACATTCTGTTGATAATGTTAACTTTTTTAATGTTTTTAAACTAAAATTCTGGCCATATCTTACAAATTGCACCTTGAACGTGGTATTAAAAAATTACCAGCCTCTATCAGTGACAATCGATGAATCAGAATTTCAGTCAGATCATCTTTTTCACAGATAAATGGAATTATAGTATAAATGGAGGAGCTGGAAAATATTGCCGGGGAGAGGGACATCTGGAAAAACCTTGCAACCCGATCCAGCGAATGAGTAAAGATGGATGGATAACACATTCTTGTGAAAAATTATAGGAAGCTCTTTAAGCTTAGGCTATTATCAAAGCTTTAAATACAACAAAATCCACAATAAATAAGAAATGCAGAACAGAGGAAAGCAAAAATAGTCTGAATTAGTCTTGGACATTAATCATTTGGCGTGCTGATTTATTTTCAAACAGACAGGGGTTGATATTTGGAATTTGGGCCAAGAGACAATAGCAGACATGAGAAAACAGGAAGCTTTTGTTGGATTTTAGAAACAGCCAGGAGGTGAGTTCTGGTTGCCAGAAATGAAGTGATACTATTGATCCACGACTATCAACAGCCCACAGATATGTTAAAATAATTTGTTGCTACTGAGTGGTAAGCTCTTGCTCATTGACTCTTTTAAATAGACATTACTGTGATGAGAATTTGTGTTCGTGCCTCAAGAGGAACAAGATGTTATCATTTCAATTATAGGAGCAGAGAATTTCATAGCACAATCATACACAAGAGGAGATTTGTAGCATAGATGCTCTACCCGGCCTAACCTTGAAAATTCATAAACACGAGAAATGAACTTCCCCTGAACACTTTAACTATTTCAAAGCCTGGGAAATAAGTTGTCACGCTCCCGCGACAAACAGGAGCATTGGCTGCTCAGGGATTTTTGACAACACATCAACATCAACAACACTGAACACAGAAAAAAAAATCACTCCACCAGTGGGGAGTAAGAGAATTGTAGCAGGATTATGCACCTGGCACTGCCACGTGAATGTGATTCATGAGAAAAAAAAATCTGTCAAGTGTTTATTCTGTCAGGGTACCACCAGAAGGTTGTTAATATTCAAGTCTTTGGGCATGTGCAACACTCATGTAATGGGGTTTTTTCTCTGCAACTCAGGCAGGCCCTTGCATATACTGTAGCTGAGGGACTTCTGATCCAATGATGGGTGACAGCCAAAGATAACAAAAAATCCCCCTATAATTACTGTTCAGATATTGTGAGCCAGCGCTACTGTGGATTAGTCTTCCAGCAGCTGTGTAACAGTATGTAAGGTTGTTGCTAAAAATAGAAAAAAAAACACCCATCTCTTATTCACACAATTTGCAGCTTGCTCACTTTCTTGCCCCCATCCCTTCGCTCTTCTCTCCTTCCATCTCCCCTTTCCCTTCCCTCTCCCGCACATCCGAAATCGCAGACATGCAGCACAAGCTTCAAAGAGCATAGATAACTTGGGGAGCACAAGACTGACTGTGATTCACCACAACACATGCAATGATAATGTCATTTTCACAACCAGACAGTGACATTTAGGTTTAATTCACACGGCGTGCTCACCTATGCTGTGACTGATCAGTAAGCATTGGAGGGGAGTTACTGTGAATGAGCAAGGCGGTTTGACTTCAAGTTGTCTTTAAGTTTCGTTTGAATGGGGGAAGAAACAGAGAGGGAACACAATGATCCCCCTTGGGCATATGTAAAGTAAATGTGCAACAAAGACTGCATATTGAGTGTGAGTGTATTTTCAGGATGTGATAGTCCAAAAACAAATTGCAACAAAGAAAGCTTGAAGTGCCTCCAAACGTTTAAACTTTTTTTTTTTCCTGTTGATTTTCCGCAGTGTTGCACTGCCTGCTGCGTTCTCCACTCTGCCTGGATGTGGAGCAAGCAATCATTTCAATTGTTCAAATCAGGAAACCTATCCGGTCCAATTCATTCTGATTACAGCTCTGGACTCCAACAAACAGCAACTATTAACCTACAAGCAGGACGCCTCACGCTCCTCACAGATGAGCAGTTCTATGAAGGAAACCATTCAAAAATGTTTTATACAAGATGCAATGGAAAGAAGGCGAGCGATAGGTCATCGCTTTCCTGTTACACAACAAGCAGCCTAAAAGCAAACTATTAGATACTGATGAATGTGTGAATAAAATCAGACAAGGTACAGCTCAAGTCAATACGAAGAAAAAGCTCACGGTCCTGCCTCATGTGGCAACTGAACTGGAGAAATAAAAACCCCATTTCTGTACCACAGTGGATGAACATGCCTAGCAGATACAAGCGTGTATGTATGATCATCTGCAGCAAAACCTGTGAAAAATCACAGCTCACTATACTTCACATCAGGTCAGCCATGGCCAAAGGGGGCCATTTTCTCTTTTGGGAATTATGTGACACCTTGTAACAGACCACCCGAGGCAGATAGTGTCATGCTGTGAGGTTTGATCCTGAAGAGAGAAAAGCCACAGGGCTTCAAAGCTCAAGCATACAATTCACACTGACACAAGTCACATATACAAAGAATGCATATATGCACCCACATGAGAGCAGAGTTTGAATGTGGGCTGTGGGTGTCTGGCACCCATACTGCAGAGAATCCCCTTCAAATATTGATGATTTTAAAAAAAAGACTCCCATAAAGTACCCGAGCATAAATATGAGCAAACATCGATTATTTTTCATTGCTAATTCACTCTCAGATATATTTGCAAAGATGAATTCTACAATAATTGATTTGCAGTGTTGGTGCAGTGTTTAATGCAGAAGCATTTGTTTAATTTAATGCGAATTAGTGAATAAAATATGCAAATTCTCAGTTTACTGGGAATCCACACTGCATTCTGATATTTTTGTCGCAAGGGCTTAGGTTTTGTTTCAACACTGGGGGGCAAATATGAAACTGGGGGCTTAGTGGTGATCTGCCAGAAAATTTGAAGCATCAAACACTTAATTTCCTGCATCGTGGTGAATTTTTATGCACTAATTTGTGCCTTTTTGGGGGGTGCACATTTTCTAAATATTGAGGGGAGGTTTTTCTGCCTGTTGACCAGGCAGAAAAACTGAGTATAGAGAAGTGCCAATTGTTTTTCTGCCTGGTCAACAGGCAGAAAAACAATTGGCACTTCTCTATACTCAGTTTCAGCAAAAATCAAACATTAGAAACTTCACAAAGACATTTATTTCCAGACCATAGATTGGATTACAATAAATGTTAAAGTTGTTGATGCTGTTGTGTAAAATGATTCAGCATTGAATATAATTTCAGACTTCTTCTAGTTTCTGTTTTAGACCTGTGGCATGTTCGGTCAGACGGAGATCAAAGCATTGTACCCATACGCATGAAAGGTAAGGTCTCTGTTCCCCTGCAAACCCACCTAAACACACACACACACACGTATGTACACACAAGACAGAGCACACACATTTTCACATCTCCCTTGCGCATGAAAGGAGCATCACAATCTATCAACATTAACACATTGCTGTGTCAAACTGCATTACACTAATGATTCAAGATTGATGCAAACATCACAATGCATTATGTAATTTTCTTAAGAAAGATGTAAAACCCAAACACTTGAAAAAGCCATGCTGCACGAAGCCGTATGAAATATAAATTGTGTCTTTTTCACACTGATTTCTCAACAGAGTGATTTCACAACAGAGGAGACTGAAACAGCCCTTCTAAAGGATAAAAGGATAAAAACAGACTGACACACCCCTTATAAAGGATAAAAGAGTAACATGATTAAAAAATATTGGGAGAACTGAATGATGCATTGCATCAGAAACTGCTTTGAAAGGAAAGTGATATATATTTTTAATTTCCTGCTGGTTTTCGGTGAAACTGGGACACACGACTTCAACAGTTGCCTCCCTAAATGCCTTAATTTTCAATACCAATAGTATCATTATCAGAACAGTGTACTTTAAAGACTCTGTGTTAAGCATAATATAAAAGAACAGTAGGTGCACCTTTTATTGAAACACTACATGCAATCAAGTTAATCAGGATCGAGCAAGGTTAATAAAACTTTGATATTTCTGCAGACTTCAGGTGGCTGTTAACACTCACTGGCTTGCATGAGCTGACCCTGACGCCCAAACACCTGGGAGAAAGGGCTGCGGCTGCAGGTGAGCATCTCCTCCATGGCTGAACTCCTCCGGAAGGGGAAAGGTCCTTCGTCTTCAGAAAGAGAAAAGTGCACTGTGGGTCAGTGTGGAGAAGGTCGGCTGTTGCGCTGGAGCAGTTCTCTCCTCTCACTATCTCAACTGCTAATTTGCCTTTGAAGCCACCTCACGACCTCTCCTACGCCTTTCCCTATTGCCTCCCCACTGACTGCAGATCAGTCCTGTGTCTCGTTGCCTCAGATGCCGTCAGAGTTGCTGCTGCTCCTGAGCTGATGGGAGATCTGTGTTGGGTTTGCTCTCAGCCCGCTCATTAGTGCTCCAGTGTAGCGCTGCTTCAGACAGAGAGCACAGCAAACACAGCATGAACAAAGCGAGGGAGAGAGAGGGAGAGAGAGCGATGAGAAGGAAAAGCCTGCTGCAGAGAGAAGACAGACTCTCTCCCCTGACGAAAGTGAGAATAGAGATGACTGTGTGTGCATGTGTGTAAGTGCAGCCAGTTCTAACACTATACTGGAGCTGCTGCTGCTTGTAGTCTCTGGCTGTGGTTTCCTCTCACTTTCATCTCCCCTCTTTTTAATCCAATCTGACTCCTCTACGGCGAGTTGACAGGCATATATGTTGGGAAATGGACCTGATACACAACAGATAAGCATGACAGCAACTGACTTGGGCAGAAAACAAATTTGGTAAGTGTTGTCGAATATGCTCTGCCTGCAAGCAAGTGCCAGCATACTCTCAATGTGGCCCGGGGTCTGTTCATTCAGTAGCATCCATATTACATGGGAGCTTGAGTATCACAGATAAAGAACCAGGGCAATTCCTCAAAAACAAAAGCAAAACATAGAGGTACACTTAAAATTAACTGACACAACCAATCGTGACTTTTTTGTCCAGCTTGCCAGCATGCAGACAGTGTGACAGTTGGAGCCAAATGTGGGTCTCATGCCCTTCACTGGATTTTGATTTGGTGTACACCTCCACCTTTACTTTTTCTCCTTTTCTCTGTGATCTACTGTGTGTGTTTGATGCCTGGCTCAAAACCTAATTTCCTTCAGGATAAAAAAAGTTTGAGTTTCTCCCTCTCCCCCCCCGCCCTTCGCTTCCCTACTTCAGGTATTATCTTCCAAATATAGACAGAAGACTGATCCTGCATCTCTCTATCTCTCACTCACACACAATAACAGCCAGGTATATGCAGGTCTTATGCAGCACTTTGCTTGTGCAGGCAAAAAATAGCACATTTGTGAGTCCTGTTCAAAGCAAAACAATGATTCTGAGCAGAAAACTCAAACACGGACACGGAAATCAGTTTCAAACTAAAGGGGCCAGTGGATCATTAAAAATGGATCCGCATCCTTTATTAATATCCTCATTACCATGTCTGTTAAGCTCCTGAACAGCATGCAGAGAAGGAAGAAGAGACTTGTACAAAAGTACTTTATCCCTGTATCCTGTTTGCATTATTGCTTCCACCCTGTGCTGCTTGGAGGGGGGTCGCTGACCTTCATAATGCAAGTGTCGGGTTCGTCTTCCCTTTGAACTCAGGCTTACATAAGATATCGGAAGCAGCTAGATTAGGAGATCCGCAAGCATACATATGTTTGAACGTTTGAATTATTTAGATAACTTTTAACTTATAACTTTTCAACTGAGATCTGGCCCAAACTGTTCTGACTGCGCACAAAAACAACTTAAAAAAGAAACACACAAAAGATGAAATGTTAAAGCTGGGGAAGGCAGAAATCTGTTAAACGACCACAAATGAGACAAGCATTACCTAGCCAACAATGTTAGCCAACCCACCATCCCTTTGCCTCACTCCCCACCGCTGCAGACTGAGAGCAGGCAGCAGCTCAGGAAACGGACTCTAGGTCGGTGGCTGTAGCCGCTCAAATTCAGTCACTGGAAAGCGCCCAGTCTAATCAGTTAGCTGATCTAGCGGGAGATCAGGGGTGTCCAACGGTGTACAATGGAGCTGGGAACTGCGCTCGCTGGATTTGTGTTGCTGAGGCCACTTACTTTGGGTGTGTGTCCAGAGCTGCTGCAAGCTCTTCTCCCACTTACAGGTAGTCTGTAGCGGTGCGGTGTAAGACGGAGGACACACTGTGATTCCAGGCTCTAGCTAATGTTGGCTACATAAACATGAACTAGAAGCTGCAGCTGTGAGCCTTTAGCTGTAGTTAGCAAAAGGCTAAACTATTAGCAACATTTTCTCTCCATTTCTTAAACACTTCACCCAGTAGCACCATATCCACCTTATTTTCAAACATGGAAGTAAATAGTGATCAACTTCCGTGTTTTTGTGCGTGACTTCCGGTCAGCCACTTTCCCTCATGCTTTCCCTTACCGGAGCTAACGGTGCAAGCTAATTTTTTTCAATTTTCAATTGTTTATGTTAGTCAATCAGTTAGTTAGTTAGTTTGTCTGTGTATTTTATATAGATAACTGTGCCCACGTTTCCGTTATCCGGTAATTGCCAGTAAAAAATAATTCCATTTAAATGCGAATAAATCGCACGTCAATCAAAAACTATGAACCAAAAAAGCACAATCTATCCCGAGTGAGACAAACTGCTTGATCCCCGTCTCCAGTGTACCAGCAGAAAACCTGCAGAACCGAATCAGTGAAAAAACACACCGGGCTACACAGCCTCTCTACCTGAGCAGCTGAAGCTGCGGCTCGCATCCTCGACACACAGACGGTGCTTCTGCATGCCAGCCAAACGTGTGCGCAACTGTGAGAAATAAATATGTGAGGTGTACGCTGCTTTTCTATCTTTTTTTCCCTTTTCTTTCTTTCTCTCTGTCAGCGGCATACACTCCTAACACAGGATGGGTTGTTTGAATTGACTGAGTTGATCGTTAAGCCATAGTGATGCGCGGATCGGCTCTGATAGCACCTGAATCAGCATGTACGCATCAACCATCCAGCCATTACAACATGATTGAGCTAGCAAAGCAGTTTTGTGTTGCTATGTGTGGTATTTATTCAGTTTTGGGAAATCACGATGTCTAGAAAGCATCAGTGGCTGCAGCTGACAGGGACAGCTAACGTTAACACTAGCAGCAAAGCTAACATCAGGATCGTCATCCGTTAAAAGCCTCCCGTTGTCGGATACGACATGAAACTACTCCAGTTAGCTCAATCATGTTGTAATTATGACATCCACTGGAGAAAATATTTTTTTCACGGGCCACTTAACAGTTTATGATTGACGTGCGATTTATTCGCGTTTAGAGGGAATAAATTTCCGTTATAACGGAAACGTGGGCACAGTTATCTATATAAAATACACAGACTAACTAACTAACTAACTAACTGATTGACTAACATAAACAACTGAAAATTGAAAAAAAATTAGCTTGCACCGTTAGCTCCGGTAAGGGAAAGCATGAGGGAAAGCGGCTGACCGGAAGTCACGCACAAAAACAACGGAAGTTGATCACTATTTACTTCCGTGTTTGAAAATAAGGTGGATAGGGGGCAAAAGTTGAGACAATTCCAAGGGCCCCTGACTGACAGGGGCCCCAAAAATAGGTAAAAATTAATATAAACTTATTAAACCATCATCATTAAGAAATTTTTTTTTCAAATATAGTAATAAAATTAACGAACTCTTTGTTTTTACTTGGTTTTGGCGGTTAAAGTTAAATATCCCCATTGACCAAAAAGTGAACATCCATATTGACTGACCACCCCCCTGTATCTGCATGAAATGGTTTGGTCCTGCCTTAGCGCACTGACGGTGACAGTGCCTAGCAGCAGCCAGCAGTTGCGCTACAACACTACAGTCATCATCATGCTACCTAGTACTGAAAGACAATCCGGTTTTCAAAAAAGGAAAGATAGAGAAAGGAGAGAGAGGAGAGGCAAAAGAAAGGGTGTCAATATGTGAGCCAGTTTTTCTCCAAGAAAGGTGGGTAGCCTGTAGTCTGTGAGTGGTAGAAATGAACCTGTTAGCTTAATGTCCATAGTGAAATAAGCTAGCTACAGACTAGCGTTAGCCTACACTTCACTCCTTTTTAACCTACATTTAATCAGTGCAGGTAAATGTTTAGCAAGATATTCATATTAAATCAGTTGTCCCTGCCCCTTTTACCAGACTCAACAACGGATGAGTCAGAAGCCACAGCCCTGTCTCCCCATAACTTTACCACTCCCCGTCCCAATGAAGAAGGTGAGCAACATTGTGTTGATTGACATGTCAGTTAGCATCATTGTAGGGAGTCTGTGGGAATTTCTCTCTCTCTCTCTCTCTCTCTCTCATGCTCTTTTTTATCATTACAAAAAACAAAATGAAATATTTTTTAATGACAGAAATTCAAACAAATTATTTTTCCACATAATGATTATTATAAAACATAAACAGCCTACAACTGCCTGTACTGGAGGCTGGACAGTTGGAAACATTAAGTAGCCTAACTCAGCCTGTATTAAAGTTACAGGCAATATTAAAATAATCCAGTTAGATGCATTCATTTAGACTGAATTATGGCCGTTAAATGACATCTATAGATACAGACTTATCAAAAAATCTGCTGTTTTAATTATTTTGAGATAATGATCTTAATTCATTTTGATTGAAAAGTTAATGTTTATTTAAAGCTATAGTGCGTAACTTCTGTCGCCTCCCAGCGGATAATGCGTTATTACAACTAATAAGCCGGCGGCACTTCCATGTACACAGAGTAACACTCGCCTTTGTGGTAGGATCCACTTCTGAGCCGTGTCTCGGCCGCTACTCCGCCATGTTGCTTTCTCTTTCTACCTGTGCTCTACCTCTTGCTATGAGACTCTCCGCTTTTCCTCCCCCTTCCTTCTTGTTGTGAGGAAGTATTTCCTGTGTGCCAGCGCGGGAATGTCGCCGGTCTACATGCATACTAAAAATGATATATATATTGAAAAATACCGCAAGATGTTAGAGGAGCCGATCGGCTTAATCAGCATTGTGTCATCTCCTCTAGTAGTGGCTTGGGTGAAACAGACATTTACGGACCTGTAGAAGTTACGCACTATAGCTTTAAGTTATTTTTTAAGTCTTTCATTAATGTTAAGAGAATTTTCCATTTTGGGATTTTACAATAAAAATTACATTTAGACTGTAAAAGATGGCCCTTAGGACATTTTTTATGGTGGTTTTTAATCTCTCGTCAAATAGTGAATTGCATACTGTATGCAGACTGTTGCATGTACAACTAATTAGCATTAAATATTGTACTGGTAGTATTGAACTACAAGAAGCAAGACAGTTGCAAGCTTTCAAAGTTAGAATTATGTAAAGCTGTTAATGGGTCAGTTAGGTCCTAGAGACAACAGCTGCGCAGGGGGGGTCCAAT